CTGTGTATGGGGGTTCCTGTTTCTCCACATCCTCTCCAACATTTGTTGTTTTTTGTCTTGGTGATTATAGCCATTCTAACGGGCGTGAGGTGGTATCTTAGTGTTGTTTTGATTTGCATTTCCCTGATGATTAGTGATGTTGAGCATCTTTTCATGTGCCTATTGCCCAGCACCCATTCTTCAAAGAACACAAAGAGCAGGTACTGCATTCATTAGCATTTCAAACTACATTTTTTCAATAAGTTGAAATTATTTTAATTTTTACATCATTTTAGGTGGAGGAGGCATTTATTTAGTTATGTAACAGGATTTTTGGCAGTCTTAATCAAAATATCTTTGTACAAAATTTATTGTATATATCTATCACCATATAATAAAATCTTTCCTACTTAAAACTGTATATTTGCCACTACATTAATATTAAACACGTAATAATGCTGACTGAACTCGATGTTATTTGATTGCTTTCAGATAATGCTTGATCTAGTCTGATAGATTTGTTAATCGCTGAGAGTGTAAAGTAAATGAGAAATTGTGCTACATGTAGCTTGCTCTGGCCCCATTCTTTTCTGTATAGTTTTTAATTTTACAGTTCTGTCTATTATTGTAGGCATATAAGTAGTCATAATAAATCATATTTAAGCACCTTTCCATTTTGTTCTATTCTTATTTTTAAGTAAGGGAATATCAAATTAGACCTATGTGTTTCACATGATTTTTTGCATGTGTACTTTTTGGAAGTGAAAAGAAAAAATGGAACATGATTCACCTAGATAAATGACTATAATTGTTTGAAGGCCGAAGTAAAACCAGGCTTATGCCAATAGCAGTTTCTGAAGTAGCTATAGCTAGAAATTGAAGATAAACCTGATAAAGGAGATGATTAAGTTTTCATAAAATTGGATGTTATGTTTGTGTTTTTGAGCACTCCGACTTTAAAGCATGCATGCTTTAAATTATATTTTTGTTTAATATCATTAATATTCATTTCAAGATGATGGAATTCCTTTTTTTCCAACTTTGCAAATCTGGTATTTTCTTTGGTCTGTGGTTTAATGTTTCATTACAGAAGAAAATGGGAGATGCTGAAGCAGGCAAGAAGATATTTATTCAAAAATGTGCTCAGTGCCACACAGTGGAAAAAGGTGGAAAACACAAGACTGGTCCAAATCTCTGGGGCCTTTTTGGCCGAAAAACAGGACAAGCACCAGGATTTTCTTATTCTGATGCAAACAAAAACAAAGGTAAAAATAAGGCAGCTGTGGGAGAGAACCAGAAACTTTGTAGCAAAGAAGAAAGCACGTGATTTGATATTATAATAATTTCCTAATTTGCAGCATTAAAATGAAATCCCCATGTTTATATTACTGAAATAGTGATTTATATCATAAGATCTGCATTTGACTAACTGTTCATCTGTTTGATCAGAGGAATTAGCAATCCTCCGTGGCATAGGTTTTTGCCTCTACAAGGTATTTCATTTTATGCAGTACATTTATCTTGAAAAAGCATGATCTAAAAAAAAAAAATCAAATCATATTTTAGTGGCATAATGGTAGTTTTCTATTTGTAGTGATGAGTCTTAGGAGTGTAGGGGAACTGTTATATAGTTTGAAAAAGTATTTTCTTTTTTTTTATTTTATTTATTTATTTATTTATTTCCTAAGAAATGTTTGTGCCTTTTTTTTTTAAATTTTTTATTTATTGCAGTAACATTGGTTTATAACATTGTATAAATGTCAGGTGTACATCATTATACTTCTATTTCTGCATAGATT